TTGGATCAGTGTACTCGTATTTTGTTGGTGGCAGAGAAGTGAAAAATTAGCCGGAACAGAGCTTTTCCAGAGCCAAATTTTCATCCCCACCCACAGCTTCCAAACTGCTCCTTACTTGAGCCTCCGGAAATCCCATCTCGACAAGTTTCTGCACCTGCACCACTCACTCACATCAATCTTCAGTACACACGCTTTTTCATTTTCCACAGTAACAAAAAAAAACTACTCAAACTCAAAACTATCTGATTTCTCGTGCAATTGTACACAACCCGTAAAATCAAAATTAAGGCTCGAACCTTTTCTTCCACCCCAAGAGATGACGTTTTGGCAAAAGTTTCTGTCCAATACCGAGCTGTGCCAGCGAAAGTCTGGTAGTCTCTAAGATACTGCAGCAATATTTGTTGGTATATTAAAGCTCCYATCTCCAGTGCTAACATCCCAAGGCAAAATTAATGAACATACATGCAGTCTATACCTGTTGTGCCACGACAGCATCTTGAGGATCATCAGGTTGAGGAGCAGAAAGCAATGCCTGCACAGAAAGCAGGGCTGTCTTCAACGTAAGTGCTGGGCTCCACTGATCTTTCAATATGTCAAGGCATATTGCACCACTTTGACTACTGATATTAGGGTGCCTTCAAAAACACAATAGAAATACCAATTAAAGACCAAAAGCTCAAAAGAACTTCATGCAAACATTTTATAGGCCCGCTAGAACTAGGCCAACAAAACGAAGGATCCACAAACTTCCAGATGTTAAAAACATTTTAGAATAGTTCAAACTGCATAGCAACGACAACATGTTGTAGGAAAATCCCAACACCAGATGCACACTTGACGATCTCCAAATCTCCAATTCCAATATTAAGAAGGAAAAATGTGGTCAAGCCCAGCATCCACCTTTGGAATTCAGGAGGCATCTAAGCTTCAAACAAGACTACCCATCTAAGATGATGCCCCCAATTTGCCCATTTAATATCATCATTTCAGAATCGACATGGAAAGAGGAGCAAGCATTCATCCATAGTTAAGAAAGTTAAATCAGTAATCTTTATGGATACGAACTCAACAATATTAGAATCCTACTTTTCTTTGTTTTCCCTCGATATCCCTGAGTTTCTGGTCCCTTGAATATTTTCAAGGGACAACTGCTTGACCCTACACATTTGGTTGCCAAGATAACTCGTAGGATATTAAATCCTTAGCTGATGCCCACCATAGTTTGACTCATTCCCTCCAAACCATCTACTATTTACATTGACACTGGTTCTTATTGATCATTAATCAACCCATGATAGTGTTATTGTTTGATTACATTCAAAAATAATAATAATAAATCGCATGTTATTCCAAAGAATTATACTTTCTAAAATGCAACTTCATCAACTAAACATGAACTCAATCTATGCACGAATATAAGATATCTCAATTTCGTCTGCTCAGCAGATGTAAAAATAAAGGAAACCATGCATAAATTGTCCTTACCAGACTTTTGTAGCAAACTGCATTTTGGGAGGCTCAAATGGATACCCATCTGCAAGGGAAAAACCCACGCCTAAGATACATGATAAGGATTCAGACAAACAAGTGTTTTTGGAAGTGTGTCTGGGAAATCCATGGAAAGGCAGCTCAATGAAGTGCATGCCGCAATGCCTCAACATTTAAAATTTTTTAAATTAAGATACTCCAAAATCCCTCATTTCTTTAAACAATCCTACAAAAGTGCTAAATTCTTAAAATTTTCGTTATCTTCTTACTCATAATGCAATACTTTTCTATAGTGTGCCTCACCAACCGAAACCCCTCACTTTTTATTGTGTTTTGGGCTTGAGCTCTAGAGGGCTACAGCACTTTAGTCCTCACACTTTAAGAAACATTGAAGACTTCACTTGTGGCAGTTATAATTTTTGACATTAAGCCAGCTATATAGGTAAGGATAAGGTATAAAAACTATCAGGGAACATGATAAGAAATCACAGAAAACGCTCAGCCAATTTACAATATTTTACCATAAAATTTCAATGGAGTAAGGAATGGTTCTTTCAACAAATCTCTGACCGAGAATTGATCTTAAATCACTCGAACTCGCAGCAGGGCTGGGTTCAAGAAAATTTGAAAAAACCTCAGAACTAACATGTCTAGGAGGAAACCCTAATGGTAATGGTGATCCGATACAGATCATTTAGGTTGTGCAGATAAAAATTTGGGCAAAAGCGGAAGAAAAGGAGGATGAGAGGGACCTGGCAATGTGATGTCAATTTGGAAGGTGCCACCTTCATAAGGAGTAGCGATAGGGCCGGGAATGGTGCCGAGCAAATGGGCAAGATTATCAGCTTTGGGGGTGACTCGAATACCGGAGGCCTCGATGTCTTTAGTGCATTCCTGGAGCTCCTTTTGGACGCGAGCGAAGTCTATCATCTTGGTGAGTGATGGATATATCAGAAGGAATGAATGTGAAGTAACCCTACTTTGAAATTTGAACAGGAATCGGGAATCGCGCAAGGTTGGAGAGAAGGGAAAAGGGAGAATTGAAAATCGCGCAACTAACGTTGGTTGCCTGGTTTCACTTTCACTCTCTAGTCTGTCCCTTCCTCCTTGTGTGTCACTGTATTGTGATTTGTGCGCTGCCGCTGGCTGTRGCTATCCAATTCCAGTCGACTCCTCCTGCGGCTGCCCTTTAAACTTCTGTGGCTTCTCATTTATTTGGACATGCCTCCTTTACCCGTTGGGATTCGGAATGGGAATTCTTTTTCTTTTTCTTTTTAAGAAAACGAAATTAATGAGAATCAAAATATGATTTCGTTCATTTTCTCTCTTAGCATTACCAATTGTCTCCAATCAAAATCTTACATTCTTAAGAATACGTTAGCCAAATAATATGCTAATATAATTTTTAACCAAGTCAAAAGTAAACTTTCCTATATATATATAAAAAAAGGCAAAAGTTCAACTTTATTTTATTTTAGTAACATGCTAATTTGACTTAACTTCGGAACAATAAAAATAATGTTTGGACAAGAAACAGTGAGGTAAAGAAGACATTCTATGAAGTAGCGATAAACAATCGGGTCCTCCAACAAAGAACTATTAGCTTGACATAAGGATCCAAACACGGCAAAGAAGAAGGTTTGATAATTAAGAAACCAGTATCCCCGAACAATTGTAATGTATAATTTCTTTAAGACGGAAAAATTTCATTAGAATATCATCAATCCAATTCCAATCCTAAAAACTAGGGCTAGGAATCCAAATCCTTAAATTTAAAGATGGAAGAAGACGTTCATGCRACAATAATGTCATAACATTTCAAATGTAAGAAGCCATAAATGGGCAAGTGTCCATAAGATACGAAAGGTAACTAACTCACTTACTAAACTATGTTTCATTATTTCTAATTGAGAGCTCTCGTAAAATTATAAATTAATTTATGTTATTTATACGTTTCACCCTTGGTTAGTCTATAATTATTCCTCTATATGAAAATTTATCAAACACATTAAACAATTACATGCGTGGTCCATATTATTAAAAACATTTCATTAGTTTTGATCACGTGCATTGTTTAATTAATTTCGATGCAGTGTGCTGGAATTTTTTATGTACATAATTCCGTCCAACTATTAATTTATCATATATCATTTTTTTGAAATTTTACTAGAGCTCTTAGTTGATTGCCATGTGTGCAAGTTTGACATATTCTACGGTGTGTATTTCACTGGTTTGGTAGAACTATTTACATAAGTCCACATTGCAAGTTTAAGTTATAGGTGGAGTCCACATTGCAAGTTGAAGTTAAAGGTGGGACACATCCGTTCGTGTATCCAGTCGAAGTGGTTTATCCTTCCACAAATCGAGTGATATGCAAAATAGAAATGAGCACTTCGATTTCAAAATTAAGGAAGGTGGTAGAAGATAAGTAGAGTATTTAGAAGGAATTCAAACATACTTGACTAACGAATTACCCAAACTTTCTTGTAGGTGCTCGATTCTGGATTGGTTTGATGAGGAAGGTCGAGCTTCCTCCCTTAATTTTAACGAGGGCTAGTTTCGCGATGGACGCTGACTACACAGTCAATTCCGTCTTTGGTGCACGTTGATGACGATAATGGCAATACATGACCAAACTCATCCCCTGCAATCGACCTGATGTAACCAGATTGCCATGCCCTCTGAATATTTCACACATGGCAGCTCAATTTTTCCCCCTCATAACACCATCGTTTAGCTTTCCTACACATCCAAACACAAAGAAAGCAAATTGGGTTTGGATTGAGATTTTAATTTTCATTTTTTAAAAATATTGTGTCATACATAGAAGACATCGTTGAAGAACAGTATAAAAAGAGTATACAAATAAATTCATTTCAATTGATTAGTCTTTCCAGAATTCTTCCATCAACTTTTCGAGATCTGAATTCTTTTATCTCGGACTTATCCTGAGTTATATTATATAAAATTTATCAATTTTTATGGATTCCATCTCTAAATCAATTGCAATAAGGGGAATACTTCAGGTTTATTATAAACTATGGTAAGGTCCATCTTCTTTTCAATGAGAGATCCTTAACATAAAATTGACCTATTATGTGTTTTGTTCCTTCGATTTAAGCTGATAATTTTATGATCCATGTCTACCTTTTTTTTTTGAACCTAACAATATATATGAGATGGGAGAGTTTGAAGTACGACTTTTTTTTGTTGAGTTTCTTGAACTAAGATTAGAGCTGTTCATTTTCTCCATGGAACCCCATCCTGTGGGGACCTTACTAAATAGGACAAAATCCACATTTAAATTTCCCACGAGATGGGGATGTGGGAAAAATTTTCCCCACCACCTAAGTGGGGACGAGGACACGGAATACGTTCCCCATCCCCATTCCTCATTCCCCGCCCCCATCATTGTTTTTAATATTTATGTATATACATATACATTCTAAAATAATTATATTATTCTCTTTAAATATATATGTAAAAAAAATATCGTGTATTGTTCTCTACCCACCCACCCAATATTTGAGAGAATTAGACCTTATAAATTAAGCAACTAAATAAATTTTCTGTAAGAAAAAAATATTTATTGACAAATAATTTAAAACATAAAAAAAAAAGAAATAGGGAAAAGTTCCTTGCGGGAGCCCGATTCTCATGAACTCCCCGTAGGGAATTCCCACCCCGATCCCTAAACTAAGATGGTGACCTTATTCAATTTATCCAAAGTTTAAATTGGACAATTTTATTTTATCTTTTAAGAAAGGTACGTAGTTGACAAATTCAATGATTACTAAATGGATTTAAATGCCTTCATGTTTAATTTTAATGAAATAATTGATTTGAATTACGTTTTTCCTTTTCTACTTTACTCTTTTTACGTTTCTTTAAGGTAATTAAAATGTTACCTGTAAAAATATTTATATACTAAAAGAAAATAGGAAAAAAACTATAAACATATTAAAAATTTAAGACTAATCATCATTAAATATTTATTTTGTTTGAAGAGTATTTAATATTTATTTAATGTTTAGATGTTTTTAGTATAGGAGTAGGATTTGAACACACCAATTTTTTTTATAGCAGATTAGACATTAATCCACTRAATTATACTTAGATATTAAGTAATATTTTAGACGTTACGTGTTTAAAAAAAAGTGTATATATATTTATTTTATGTTTAGAGGAAATCAATAAAATTTCCTCAAAATGGTGTATGGTATGGTATTGAACGGTTGGTCTTTAATTTTTCTGAATAAAATAAAATTGTAATATGGTTTTGTTGATTACGTAATTAATGAAATTAGGTAACATTGATGAGTTAGGCCGCACTTCCCTATGGAAATAAAGCAACGTGCCAAGGAAATTTGGCATATTTCACTTTTGATTTGCTACTAATAGAGAATTTGTGTAGTACTAAAAAAAAGAATAAGAAAAAAAAATAGAGAATTTGTGTAAAGTTTCTCATTTTATTCGAAAGATATACAGCGTTAGTTAGACATGCAGTAGAAGCATGGCCATAGCCATAAGCCCATCAACATTCCCTTATTCAATCCAATCTCATTCCGCAAATATCTTGTATATGCATATGTATTTTTGTCTCCCTATTCCTTCCGTTACTAATTTAAGAACATTTTAATCTTATTTTCATGTGTTGGTTGATTGGGCGTTAATTTTTTTTTTTATTTTTTTAAGAATAGATATATTTATTGTTCGAGTAAAAGAGAAAAAGGGAGAGGGTGTGGGAGGTTAAAAGGAGGGGAAAGAAAAACCGAGTCCGATTAGTGTGCGGAATTTAAGGGTCAAAGCATGGAAGGGCGGAGAGTGGTCGCAGGACGTCAGAGTTGGCTGAGGGTGTGTTACGCATGCCCAATTCATCGCATCCATAATTCCTTTTTCGCCTTTAATTTGCCTATTAATACTCGCCCCTTTCCCTGCTTTTGATTTGTGAAGTTACTGTCAATTCTCACACACATATCCCATCCGCCATGGCCGACATTGAGCTGGAATCCAACAAGTCCAACACTTCTCACAATCTCCACCTCTGTTCCCAGACCATCCTGAGAGGCTTGGTGATTGCCTCCACATTGGCCGCCGCCTGGCTCATGCTCACCGCCAAGCAATCCGTCATCGTTTTTGGCATCCCTTTGGACGCCCGATACAGCTACTCCCCTGCTTTCAAGTAACTTTAATTCCCATTTCCAATTCAATGATCTCAATTACCTTTCTTTCTTTTAACTTTGATTTTTATGGACCACACGGTGCAGGTTTTTTGCTTTGGCTAATGCTATTGCATGTGGCTTCTGTTTTCTCTCCGTCCTCCTCCTCTTCGTATTAAGTCATCGTTTACACAATCAACCAAACTACATCTTGTTCCTCCACGATTTGGTATGTATATGGCTATGGCTAAATTAATTAGTTTCTAATGCGTATGTATGTGGATTTATAAGTGTAATATGCGCATGGGCAGTTGATGATGGTACTGGTGGCGAGCGGGTGCGCGGCCTCGACGGCGATCGGGTACGTGGGGAAGTACGGGAATAGCCACACCGGGTGGTCACCCATCTGTGATCATTTTGGCAAGTTTTGCAATCGCGTCACCACTTCCGTTGCCATCTCTTATTTGGCCGTCATCTGCCTCCTCATACTCACCATAATCTCTGCAACCAAATCTGCCTCAAACAACAATAATGCCCACTAGCACTATTATATATATTTATTAGATCATTACAACATTGGTATTCAAGATGGCATTGGATATTTTATCAACGTACGCAATAACAACAACAACAACAACACTACTTGATCACAAATCCTGCAGGTATCCTTGTATATCTACGTACGTTGTTCTCTCTCTCCCAAAGGGGAATCTGTACAACGCAACGGAGGAGCTGTGTGTCCGTCGTCACCGTCTACAACTACGTGGTAATGTAATCTGGTCCTGTGGGCCTGTACGTTACGTTTAACTTTGTGTGCTGTATCAACATCGTCGTATTACTCAACCAAGAAAAACAAAAAAACATGGCCACTGACAACACAAAATGCAATACAACGTGTAACGTGTCTGTCAACTCTTCATATTGGGAATTAAAACTCATGTCTGCATTTCCTCTTTCTTTGTCACTTACCTTCTGTGTTCCAACCGCATTACTTTCTTTCTTTTTCGTTTTTTTCTCAATCTCTCGTATTTTCCTTCCACCTTTTTTTCTCTTTCCAACATATATATAATATTAGTTATATGGTTTTGAATTTAAGGCTACTTCTAGAATGGTGGTATACAATCAACCAAAACAAAAACCGATAAACAATTATTCAATTATATTASGGAAAAAGAAAATCGTCATTTTATTAGTATTACTTATAATTATGTTTGGATCAAAGTTTGTTCGACACTTGGCATCGTCGTTATCCCTACAGAGTTGCGGTTTTTGGAAAAATTGTTGAATGAGACCGCACGTTATATAATTGCATATCCCTAATAATGGATATAAATTCAAAATACTTTTGTGAATTTTCTGTCCTACTTATAACCATCAAATTCAAATAATGAAAATCTTCATACACCTAATAGATAAAATTCAAGTTACTTTTGTGATTTTTTCTCTTCTAAATTTATTGGTGCAACTAACATTGTTCGGCTACGTTGCGGCGGTTTCTTCTAATAATTTCTCCAATTTTTGTGATCCTATCCTCCTAATTTGTATCACATGAGTCCATCTCAGAGCCAAAGTMCAAGGTGAACCGTTTGAATTGTTTGTGATATTTGCAAATGATACGGTCAACAATAAATAGAAAGTATGAAAAATTTTAAGAAATACTAGACTCCTTTCTTGGAGGAAAAAATCTTGTCCTTACCGTAATTGAAAATTTTACCTCTCATTATTAAAAGAATATATGTTTTTTTTTTTATTTTTCTCTCTTAGTTATGATCAAAATCTGATGGTGTGAAGATAAGATTGGTCTCCTCTATGAGAAAGTCAAGTATTTTCTAAACTTTTAATTGTAGCATGATATTCAAGTTAAAATTTCCTCCAACAAGGGACATGCTAAATGATTCGAACCGCCATTAAAAATATAAAAACAATAGGGTAACATAATGTATTAGGATCGGCAGTGGTTAAGCATATCTGTTGGTTGGCTGGCGTCTTGAGAAGTTGGATGTGAATTGAGTTTTTTAAATCTCAATTTTATATATATGACACTTCTAGTGCAAATTAAATACGGGGTGTGTTCCTAAAAAATATGATTGATTTTTGAAAGTAATGTCTGTATATTAATTACAACAGTATTTAAATTAACAAGTATTTGTGACACTAACATGATTTGTAGAAGTGATGGCTCACCGATTGCAATCTGGTCACCTCCAAACTGACTCACTTGAGGCAGTTCATATTCTCAAGGCCAAACTCAAAACATCACGGAGGTTCCTATGGTTAATTGAAGAGGCTAAGAGCTGGTGAGGAAATATGATTGGTTTCAAAAGAAACACCTAAGGGGCCGGAGAAGGAAACATAACAGCACACGAAATTGCATGGACGGCTATTTTGATGTGAAAATATGCCTAAGGGACGGAGAATGACCCGAGAGGTCGTCGTGAGCGACTTGGGGTGAAATCTTTTTGGAGTACTTACAAAACAGGTAGGTCACTCCACCACCCAAATTAATTTAGGAATCCGAATCTAGACAAATTAACTTTAGATATATTTTTCATATTTGGGTTCGTCGGAGGTGGTGGTGTATTTATAATGGTCAATGGAGTAGCTATTTGTCACATTTGAGTATTTTACTGCTCGCATCGGGCTCCCTTATGCGACCTTTGATCCGTGGGTTTGACCGGTCCCTTTTCTGCCTTCAACGATGGAGTCCTGACGTTTTCGCTTTTTACCGAAATATTTAGTCCCGACTTGTTAGGTCGGCTTTCTCAAAATTGTTCGAACAGGTCGGTCATGTGCAGCTGGCCTCCCAACAGCCATGAAACACAACCTGATTGCTGATTGGAGCATCGATTTTCCAAACTGTGGTTGCTGAATTTAGTTTTTAAGGACGATTTAGTTGTTTTACATGTCTTACTTACTAAACAAATAATAATAATAGAATGCCTAGGTTTAAGCTTCCTCATTCAACTTCACATACATAATTAATAGAGAAAGGAGAGAGAAAGATATTAAATAATAAATCAATTTTAATTTTAAAAAACTACGTCTCTATATGACACACGAATGTGTTCTATTATTTTCAAGAATCACCTAACTATCCTTTTATGTGGAAAAGTAAATTATAAAAAGGGAGGCTACCATCTCAACAATTAATTTACGTTCGAAAGACTCACGACTCAAAGTTGTTCAAATAAGTTATTCCTACTCTTCACAAGGACGCTCATCTCCTTAATTTATTTTATCTTTTTCTATTTTTTTACCATACTAAGAAAATGTAGCTAACTTATAAATATAATTCAATTTGTTAGGATATGTATCATCGAACAAAAAATCAAAGGTTTGAATCTTATTACACTGGCTATTAATCAAGTAGAAGGAAATAATTAAACTGGGCTAATAAAGAAAATATGGTAAATAATATGGCTCTCTCCGATTTGGACACAATGCTTACCTTTATAAAAGGAGAGTTAACTAAGACACTCCGGAATGCTTTTGCAAAAGTTAACTTTTCATGGTTATTTACTTTTTGTTTTTGATTATTTTTCGTTTGCGACGAGGTTAGTTTCCAGCCCACACGAGTTTCAATTCCGAAAAATCAATTTTATTTTCCTTTTCCCAAACTTTTTTTTTTTGTTCAATTGAAGCGCAACGAAGAACTGGTCCCCGCTGGATTTCGATCTTTCTGATTATATAAAAGAATTATTAATTTCTTATGCATGCCTTCGTTTTCTCAAAATTTAAGAAAAAGAAAAAGGAAAATCCTTATTTCTTGAAGGAGAGCAATCCCTCGTCCAATTCCAACCCAGCCCTCTCTTAGCTTCCAGATCGAGCCACTGTCGAAAGAGGTTTCCAATTCCCGGCAAATATAGGTCCAGATGATTACCATCCCATACTTGACCGCCTTGACCACCTATTTTAGCTATGGCCTGCTCTTCGCCTTTGGTCAATTCCGCGATTTTTTCAGAAAAATTTTTGATCGGTGGAACTCTAGCAATCTTCAGGTCCCTCCGGTTTCAGATTTTTTCCCCTCTTCTCAATGCATATCTATAAGCTTCATCCCTAATTGTGCCGTTTTGCGAACTGGATAACCATGTAATTCCCTTCAACAGGGGTACGCTCCGATCTGCTTAGGACTTGAGGATTTTTACATCCGCCGGCTGTATCTCCGCATTCAGGTATTGATTTGGACATTTAATTCACTAACTGGAATAATATTTATGGGTGTTTGTTTACTTTTTCAATTTACTAAATATCCATACCGACCGGTAGTTAGATTGCGCCTAGTTGAATGTCCCTTTACCTCTCGCACATAGTTTCTACTAACGATCCTGTTAACAAGTATTTCAGTACATGATATCATGATTACTATGTTGAGTTGAGATACGTGCAGAATCAAACTGAGTACTGCCTGGTCTTTTCACAGACCTATCGTATTCAAATCTTCGACTATTACTATTTTACTACAGCTTTATGTTTCCACTTTACGTTAAAGAAATCGGAGCCTCATTTTCTTGATCTTCTTATACCTTTTCTTTTCCGGACAGGACTGTTTTGGACGACCCATAGCAAGTGCTCCAGATGCTTGGTTTGATGTGGTTGAGCGTTACTCCAATGACTATAACAAGACGCTGAAGTTTGTTTTTGATGAATTCCCTATATCCTCTTCATTTTCCTTGTCCTTTTTGTTGTTTTTTAACACTTCCCCTATGGACGGCTATATTACCTCTTTTAATCTTGTTAGATATGGGCTATGTTTTCGAATCTTGACATCAATAACTTGTTAATGCGTTTATCATACAGGAGAACCACAAATGTCTCAAGGTGTCTTAACCTTGGATCCTACAATTATCTAGGCTTTGCTGCATCGGATGAATATTGCACGCCTCGTGTAATTGAATCATTGAAAAGGTTCTCTCCAAGCACATGTAGTGCTCGTGTTGATGGAGGTAATTCAATCCAATGAACTTTGCACCATGTTTCTACTCTAGCATCCAGAATGTACTAACTAACTTTTTCGGTTTTAGGAACCACTTCACTGCATGAAGAATTGGAGGTGTGTGTGGCGAAATTTGTTGGAAAGCCAGCTGCTTTAGTGTTTGGTATGGGCTATGTAACTAACTCTGCCATTCTTCCTGTCCTAATAGGGAAGGTAAATGGATATACTAATTGAAASTACTCTTGCATATTAAATAAGAGGTGTGCGAAAATGTGACCTTTTGTTCAACTGCAGGGAGGGCTAATTATTAGCGATTCATTGAATCATAATTCAATAGTTAACGGTGCTAGGGGATCAGGAGCTACAGTTCGTGTTTTTCAACATAATAGTAAGTGGTATAGAACCTTAATTGTTTTATCTGATTATTGTAATTTCTAGTCAAGGTAAGAACTCTAATTTTCTGACTCCCCTTTCCCCCACTTTTAGCTCCTTCACATTTGGATAAAGTTTTGAGAGAGCAAATTGCTGATGGACAACCCAGGACGCACAGGCCTTGGAAGAAGATAATTGTTGTTGTTGAAGGCATATATAGCATGGAAGGGGAAATATGCAAACTCCCAGAAATTGTTGCCATTTGCAAGAAATATAAAGTAATTATGCATGAATTATTCACTCAGAGTATGAATGTTGTCCTCTGGACTTTTAAGGGTTCCCCCTCTTCACTAATCCAAGAACATGTTCTTAGTTTTGGGATTACCGGCTTCTTGAGATTGGAAAAAAAAAAGGAAAGAAAGAAAGAAAAAGGAAAAAACTGTGAAATTGGCAATGGAAAAATGTTGAATCGATCTTGATCACAAAGTTCTCATTCTTCATTTTTTCTCTTTATTTTAGGCATATGTCTATTTGGATGAAGCTCACAGCATAGGAGCAGTTGGAAAAACGGGCAGGGGTGTCTGTGAACTCTTGGGAGTGGACACAGCTGATGTAGACATCATGATGGGAACTTTTACAAAATCATTTGGCTCTTGTGGAGGCTACATTGCAGGATCCAAGGTTAAATTTATTCTATTCAATACATACATTCTAACAATAAAAAAGTGGGTTTTGTGACATTGTTAAATGAAATTGGTCGACAAAGTAATTTGAAGACTCTAGCAGTATTTGTTTCGTATATTTAATTAATACTGTTAATCACAACACGATGTTTAGTCATCTTTGAGTTTCTTTAATTTGCTGTCAAAAAGAATTAGTCCTTTTTCCCTCTAAATTTTTGGTGCCACCTAGGGTTATAACTGATCAGTTGATGTTTGTACAATGTTATTTCCAAACGAGCCAGTTTGTCTTGTAGTCTCCTTTCTGGAAATATCAGGGTGTTGAACTTTTTTAATTTCTGGCAATCTTTTCCTGTCTGCTTGTTGTTCTYATATACAAGGAGTCACTCATTTGTACTATTAAATTTATTAGTTTCTTGGTTGCTTTTTCAATTTTTTTATTATAGCAACTTCTTAAAGTTTTATTTTGCGGCTTAAAGCATTCAATGATGAATTCATCAAATATATTATTTGTCTTGTCATTTCAGGAGCTTATACAATACCTCAAGTACACTTGTCCTGCTCACCTTTATGCAACATCTGTTTCGCCACCGGCTGCTCAACAAATCATATCTTCTATTAAAGTTATTCTCGGAGAGGATGGTTCTAGTAGAGGTCAGAATAGTTTCCATCCATAGCCTCGTGGCTCTCATCCCTATAGAGTGTGTGCTCATGTCGTCCTTAAACGGAAGGTTACTGAGTTTTGAACAAATTAATTCTCTTCCTTGCTAAACAGGTGCTCAGAAACTTGCTAGGATACGTGAAAACAGCAACTTTTTTAGGTCTGAGCTGCAAAAAATGGGATTTGAGGTTCTTGGAGATAATGATTCTCCCGTAATGCCTATAATGCTTTACAACCCTGCAAAAATTCCAGCCTTCTCTAGGGAATGCCTCAAGCAGAATGTAAGTCTGCATTTTACGTGGCTAGCCTGATAGTGTAATTCATTGTAGACATTCTCTTCGAAGTCTTCTTATGGTGTGTATGTTACTTTGCTTGTGGTTGGACAGGTTGCTGTTGTCACTGTTGCTTTTCCAGCTACTCCTCTTCTTCTGGCAAGGGCTCGCATTTGCATATCTGCCTCACATACAAAGGASGACCTCCTTAAAGCCTTAGAGGTTAAACTTTACTTGTGGTTACGTACTATAATTTTTTTACTTTACCATTTTTAGCACAGTTTATTCTTTTGTTTCTCACCTTCAAATTGTATATCTGAGTTGAGCAAAAACTCAACTTTACAGTGTATCACGCCTTCTTGATTTTAAAATGTCATCTTATTGAAGAATAAATGAAGCATCTAAATGAAGACATTTACTTGACATGATCGACTTTAATTATTTAGTCAAACTATTTTGTGGTAGGAAACTAGTGAGAAAATTATGATGTAATTGTAAATTGACTACAAAGAGCCTCTTCAATGATTTAATACAGTTTTCAGGTGCCTTATCGGTTCTTCGTAAAGTGACAGTTCTTAATTGCTGGTGAAATCTRTGGTTCTTAATGCTTGTTCTGAATGATTAACAAAGTTTCTTGGTTGAGAACATTGTTCTTTAGATGCCATTTGATAGATTTCAGACTATGTGAATTTGAGGGAACAGTTACTGTGTGGGGAAGTATTTGTTTCTATTACACACGCACTTTCCCCCATATTTTTGTGGAAGCAAAGGACCTTGAGGTTAAAAAGTGAAGTGAAAAGCTATAAATTTTTAGATCACGTTGATGTAGCCGTAGTTATAATGTTTCTCAGATTTTTGTACCATGGTGTGGGTGTGTAGATTTCATGTTCAGAGTTGAGGAGCCTCTGGGTTCTGTAGAATTGCTTTGAATTTTCTAGGATTGATGGCTTGTTGTCAGTTGAATTGTAGGAGGTTAATATAGAAGATAACCGCAGTTCTTTTGTGTTGAATGTTTGACAGGTTATCAGTCGAGTTGGTGATTTGGTTGGTATTAAGTACTTCCCTGCGGAGGCCCATAAGCAGCAGACCGAAAAAGATCCTCAGAAGGTGGATTAGAAAGAAAAAACAGAACGGAGTTGAAGAGAAATTGGGTTTTGGAGTTTTGTGTGATAAATGTTGGTGGCAGGAACTTGTTTTCAAGGCAGTTTAGTTCCTCCAATAGTTGTCAGAGCAGGGCAGGTGAAGGTAGAGGCCACTTGGTTGTGAATAGTGGAAGGAAAGTTTCTGAAACTGCATCTCTTCTCTTGTACCCATATGTGACATGCGATCTTCATGAATTTTGGTATATTAATGCACGGGTATTGTTGTGAGTCAGTCGCAGGATTTCCTAGTTTTAAATACATTCTGACTTGTGAGTCTTGTGACTATTTCTAAAATGTTACTTTCACGTACGGTTACTTCATTTCTTACTCCCCGGCCCCAGTGAACGATTAGCATTAAGATTTCCCAAACACCTGGAATTCTGACATTAGATTATAACCTTGGGACGTCTATCCGATTCATAATTGATCAGTCGCTATTCAATTCTTCAATGACCAAACAATTTAGTAACAAAAAATTTTTTAGGTACCAATCGGTCACTAAGAGAATTTAGTATTGCCTCAAAAAGGATTTCTTTCACTAAATATGTAATATAGAAATTCGTTCGACCAAGCTTGAAAGATTTAAACAGGATATTTATAAATATAAGGAGAAGATTGAAACAATCGTGAAGGACAAAAATAAGGTTGAAACAAACCACCTATTGACTGACTCTCAAGAAAGTGCAGAATTAGGGGACGGGTTAATTTGAGGAGAATGAGATTCGATGGTGCGGATTCCCTCTCTGGTGAACACTCTGCTAATATTTGAGCAGCAGGAGGAAGCGCACCAATGAAATCCATCTTACAGTTACAGCTACAGCTACAGAAATGGGGCAACAGTTGTCCTGTTTTCTTCTTCCCAGTGACGAGCGTTTACATATCAAATACTGAAAGAAATTTAAAAGAGGCCTCAACCAAACACAGCTAGTTACTCCATCAAACTGAATTTGGGTAATGTAACTCTTCCCAAAGGGGCTTGACTTTCAATCTTCAGCACAGCAGAAACTGGCATGAATCTACTGCATGTCTTCATATTAAAACATAGATGGATGGCTCAACTTCTTCATCTCTCTGGGAAAATGGAGACTACCTTGCCCCCAGGCATTCCTTCGCAAAATGGATTATTCATTATCCCCATTCAACATGGACATGCTCTATTTTTGTATAGTATGCAAACCCATGAGCCACCAGATTTGAGATCACAATAACAACATCATTAGCTTTCTGTTCCCCGAGTGGAAATACATGGCGAGATATCTAATGCAGTTGTACTATTATGAGGAGGACACAATATGCAAAATCTTCCAATGTAAGACAAGCCTAAGAGACATTACTGAGAAATCATAATGGTCAAATACTATGCTAGGGCAAGGGAATCAGTTCAGTCACATCACAGAGTGGGGCAATAAATGGTTTCTTTTTGGTTCTTTTGTACGTTGTAGCAAGCAGTGGCAGTACTCTTATTTCACCACATAGATTTCACAATCAAATGGAAAAAGATTCTGGGAAAATTGCATATGGGAGAAGATGTAAGTACTAAAATCAGAAATGTGAAAGACTAACAGAAGAACCTATAATTGTCCAATACGAGAAAATGTAGCAAAAAGGCTCAAAGACTAGTCGAGGCATGCAGCTTACATTGCCATGGCTGAAATTTTTGATACATTCAGACCAAAAGTCATGAAAATCCCTTCCCTAACTTCTGAATTGCACAGTACATTTTTCTCCGCGACCCAACTGCACTTATTCCCATATCCTTGAGATCCTCGAGTGTCAACATTGGCAAAACCTCATCGTCCACCTCGTGAATTTCAAAAACTGGAGCATACCGACCTAACCCTAAACCGTTGAGCCAAACCCTAACCCCATCTTCCCCACATAGTCCTCTCCCACCATTCCCATTCCTATCGCCACTAGTCCCACACTTCCAATTCCTCGCATCAGTATCCGAAGGCCCTGAAAATTCCAGTCCCTCCTGGTG